AGTCCCTACTCAGGGTCTCTTAAGAGAATTCCTGAGAAGATGACCTAGGGCAGCAGCTCTCTACCTGTGGGGCTTGACCCCCTTTGGGGGGGCAGTGTCAAATGACCCTTTCACAGGGGTCACCTAAGACCATCAGAAAACACAGATATTTACATTACAGTTTATAACAGCAGCAAAATCACAGCTTCATATTGCTGCTTCATAGCTGTGATTTTGCTGCTGTTATAAACTGTAATGTAAATATAGCAGCAATGAAAATAATGCCAGACGCACGCCTTTAATCCCAGCACTCGGGAGGCAGAGGCAGGCGGAGCTCTGGGAGTTCGAGGCCAGCCTGGTCTACAAGAGCTAGTTCCAGGACAGGCTCCAAAGCTACAGAGAAACCCTGTCTCGGGGGAAAAAAAAAAAAAAAAAAAAAAAAAAAAAAAAAAAGCCAGATGTGCAATCCAGATGTGTAATCCAGCGGTGTGCCAGATGTTCAGTCCAGATGTGCGATCCAGCGGTGCGCCAGATGTTCGGTCCAGATGTGCGATCCAGCGGTGCGCCAGATGGTCAGTCCAGATGTGTGATCCAGCGGTGTGCCAGATGTTCAGTCCAGATGTGTGATCCAGCGGTGTGCCAGATGTTCAGTCCAAATGTTTGCTCCAGCTGTGTGCCAGATGTGCGATCCAGATGCTCGTTCCAGCTGTGTGAATCCAGATGTTTATTCCAGAAAGCGCGATCCAGATGTTTATTCCGGATGTGGGAGAATCACGGCGACTGCCTGACTCAGCTTCTTTCTCCCAGCATTCTGTTCTGTCTGCCCACCTTTATTAATTAACCAATAAAAGCAACATTAAAAAAAATCACTGGTGCCTGGACCCCAGGTGGTCCAAGTAAGACTACTGGCTTTGGGAGGGAGAAAAAGGCCCAAGGTCCACCCCGTGCACCTCACTCTGCTATTACCTGTGGAATGTTACTGTGTGAGCTCCACTCCTGTGAGCCAAGAGAAACGGGGTTCTGGAGTAAGCTGGGTGAAGAGCTCAGAGTGCAGATATGCAAGTGCAGAGGGGAGGCTCCTGCTGGAGGCAGGTTTGGGGTTCTTGAGGATAAGTGAGCACAGAAGCAACGGAGATGGCCGAGGTGACAATATAAGTCCCATGATGGTTGTTAAGGAAAGCATTCTGGGGACAGCCTACGGAGGGCATCAAGGTCTATGGGGAGTTCCCAGCTCTGGGTTCCGTCTAGTTCTGTTAACTCACTCCCAGCCATAGGCACGCCGTCTATTAATCCAGGCCCATCTGTGTTTCTGTTGGGAGGTTTATATGCCACGCATCCAGTAAGAGCAGTGAAGCTGCACCCCGCAGGCCTCTCTCACGCTCCACCTTTGGGCAAACCCCCGGGGTTAAGTCTTCCCTCCCCCAGAGCAGGGGTGTCTGCCCTGCTTTGTGCGCCCAGGCACGCTGGAGGCGAGAGCCAGGAGACAGCTGAGGTGAGGAGGGTGACTGGGGTGGCGGGGACCAGGCACAAAGAGGGGGAGGGGGCTTTGGCTGCAGCTGTCCCGCGAGGGGCCGGGACAAAGGGCCTGCTGGCGGCCAGGCCGAGCCGTTTTCATGCTTGTTGGGATTAGACGCAGGGAAAGGCTCTGGGGGACTGTGATGATCTGTAGCCCGGTGCAGCGCGGCGTGTGGGGCGGTCGGCGCCACCACCCCTGGCTTTGTGAGCAGCCCTGCTAGCGCCGTCGGCTCTGGGAGGTACCCCTTTTGTCTGAGCCCCGCCGGAACCTAGTTGACCGAGCGTCAGCTGAACGCACCACCACCATGCCTGAGCCCTCGTTGGAACCCGATGAACTGAACAGGTCCCCAGGGATTCAACCCCTCCCCGGGCTCTAACATGCCAGACCTCAATACAATGAACATTTCTCCCGCGCCACTCTGGTCCATTAGCCAAGGCTGGGGACTTGGTGGGCAGGAGTAGGGCTGGGGAGGTGGGAGGATGTGGGAAGTTCTGGGATAGGGCAAAGTCTAGCTGGAGAATCCTTCAAGCCCTAGCAAACTGCAGTCTTATTTCTGAGCGGTTGGTGGGGGCATGCATCAAGGTCTGTGTCTGGAAGTGAGCGATGGTGAGGATGGGTTCATACACAGAACACATCTGCCAGCTTACCTGCCAGCACCTGGTGGGTATGATGCTGTATGTCAGCATGGATGTGAGGTTTGAGTCACATCCCAGAGCATCTCCAATGCCATTCTGCCCTTTCTCAACATCAGCATCCATTAGGCTCACTGGGCTGGTACTGATGGCCTATAGCAATGCAGTATTTAACTTACTATATGACTGAGGATAACCTTTGAATTTCTGGTGCTGCCTATGCAGGCATTTCCCCCACTCCACCTGGTTTTATGAGGCTCTCTGGATTAAACCTAGGGCTTCATGCAAGCTAGACAAGTACTCTAGCAACTGAGCTACATCCCCAGCCCAGCAATGCTCCCCCTCCCAAATTAATCGTATTTGATGTGAGTGTTTTCGTCACGGTGTTTTTTTTACAGCAGGATAAGCCCTAAGACAGAGAGACCCTTGTGGGCAAGATCTGGGTGAATGGAACCCTCCTCTCTCTCCCCCTATGGAGGGCTGTCTACCCTTGGCAGCTCCTTCGTGCTTCAGGTCTGGGACTGCAGAGCCTGTTATTTGTGTCAGCATTACCACATGTTCTTCCTAATCAAGACCAAGTTCTTTTTTCTTTTCTTTTTCTCCCAGTGAAAGGGTTTTACTGAGTAGCCTTGGCTGTCCTGGAACTCAACTCTGTAGACCAGACTGGCCTCGAACTCACAGAGATCTGCCTGCCTCTGCCTCCCAAAGTGCTGGAATTAAAGTTGTGTGCTACCACCACAGGGCTCCAATTTCTTCACGAAGCATCCAGAACCTGGGCTGGATATCCTTGTTGTGGTCAGGAAATATCATTCTTCAGGAGGGGAAAAAGGTAAGAATGACTTTTGCTCAGACCTTTTCAAGTTCACGAGTCTCTCCTTATTCCCTTCTGCCCCCCCCCGCCCCGCCCCAGGGACTAAAAAAATCCCCACTCCAACAAGTAACACAAGTCTCCAGATTGATCAGGGACCAACTCGTAGTAGGTGGGTTCTTCTTGTTCCACCATGTGGGGTTTGGGGACCAAACTCATGTCATCAGGTTGGCTGCAAGTATGCCCACGCACACTGAGCCATCTCACAGGCCCCAGTGAACCTCTTCATGAAAAGGGATCTTAAGACACGTTGGGGTTTTTTTTTTTTTTTTTATTTTTTTTGAGACAGTGTTTTTCTGTAGCTTTGGAGCCTGTCCTGGCACTAGCTCTTGTAGACCAGGCTGGTCTTGAACTCACAGAGATCCGCCTGCCTCTGCCTCCCAAGTGCTGGGATTAAAGGCGTGCGCCACCACCGCCCAGCAACTCGTTGTTTATTTATGTTGAGTCTCTGACAGCTCAAGCCAGCCTCCTACTCATTCCGACTCCAACCCCAGGCTGGTCTTAAATTTTTGATCTTCCTGTCTCAACCTCCCAAGCTGAGATTATAGGGATGCCCCAACCACAACAGGTAAACCTCTACTTTGGTTTGGTGTGTGTGTGTTTGTGTGTATGTTTTTCTGAGAAAGGGTCTCACTTGTCCTTGCTGAATACACCAGGCTGGGCTCTACCTTGGAGCTTCTCCTGCCTCTGCTTCTCTAGTGTTGGGATCAAAGACACACGAGGGTCCCACAGCACAACCTTACTTTTTTTAAAGAAAGAGATTGTCTTTGGGTTTTTAATCACTGAGAAGAGACACCATGACCATACAACTTTTTTTAAAAAATATTTATTTATTATGTATACAATGTTCTGTCTGTGTGTGTGTCTGCAGACCAGAAGAGGGCACCAGATCTCATTACAGATGGTTGTGAGCCACCATGTGGTTGCTGGGAATTGAACTCAGGACCTTTGGAAGAGCAGGCAATGCTCTTAATCTCTGAGCCATCTCTCCAGCCCGACCATACAACTCTTATAAAGCAAACATTTAATTGAGGGTGGCTTACAGTTGCAGAGGTTCGGTCCATTATCATCATGATGGGGAGCATGGTGGTGTGCAGGCAGACGTGGTGCTGGAACTGAGAGTGCTACATCTCGCAGGCACCAAAAAGAGGACTGATGGTCACATTGAGGGAAGCTTGAGCAAAAGAGACTTCAAAGCCCTCCCCACAATGACTCACTTCCTCCAAAAAGGCCACACCTCCTAACAGTGCCACTCCCTTTGGGGGCCATTTTCTTTCAAACCACCACAGAGTTCCAACTTTTAGATCCAACTTCCTTGAGGAAAAAAAGATTTATTTATTTATTTATTTATTTTGTAAAAATGTGGGCTGCTGAGATGCTTCAGCAGGTAAAGACTGTATAGCCAATGATGACTTTGAGCTCCTGATCCTCCTGTCTCTACTTCCCAAGTACTAGGGTCATAGAAATTCACTCCCGTGCCTGCAATTTTGTTTTCGGTACAGGAGACTGGAAATGCTCACAAATAAGCAAGTAAGTATTTTGTTGCTCAGCCATGTTTAGTGGCTTTTTGAGATGTTATGAAATAATCATGTACACTACAGCAGAAGACCATTACATGTCAATAAATTGTTGTCAACTGATATCTGAAGTCAGGCATGCTATTAAATATTATATCCAGGGACAGGGGCACAGCTCAGTAGTGGAGTACTTGAGTATTTGTCTCAAATAGCAAGATTCTTGGTTCAATTTTCTTTTTGTTTTTTTTTTTAAGACAAGGTTTCTTTCTTTTTTTTCAATTTTTACATATTTTATGTACTTTATGTATATAGTACTTTTTATTTAATTTTTTTATTGTTTTTATTGAACCATATATTTTTATCTGCTCCCCTTCCTTCCTTTCCCCTCCCCTTCTACCCTCTCCCATGGTCCCCATGCTCCCAATTTACTCAGGAGATCTTGTCTTTTTCTACTTCCCATGTAGATTAGATCCATGTATGTCTCTCTTAGGGTCCTCATTGTTGTCTAAGTTCTCTGAGATTGTGAATTGTAGGCTGGTTTTTCTTTGCTTTATGTCTAAAAGCCACTTAGGAGTGAGTACACATGATATTTGTCTTTCTGGGTCTGGGCTACCTCACTCAATATGATGTTTTCTAGATCCATCCATCGAGACAGGGTTTCTCTGTAGTTTTGGAGCCTGTCCTGGAACTCACTTGGTAGACCAGACGAGGTAGGCCTCGAACTTATGGAGATCCACCTGTCTCTGTCTCCTGAGAGTTGGGATTAAAGGCGTGTGCCATAGTACCACAATAAGATAAAGACATCTGTGTCAGAGTCATGTGAAGACCCTCACACAGGCTTCTGCAGTCAGGACATCCTCCAGAGCAGGGGTGCACAGCATGGGATGCTCCCTGATCATCTCCTCAAATCCAAGTGTGACTCAGGACAAGGACAATCCCTAATGGTGCAGTCAGGGCAGAGGCCAAGTCTCCACTGTCAGCTGGGGAGGGCCTGTGACTGCTAGGCAAATTCTCCAAGACTTTCAGCACTTGGCCCCAGCTACCAAGGAGAACTCAGGTGTAGAGGAGGCCACCAGGCAACAGATAGAGCAAAAACACATCCTCAAATGATTTAATTTTCTGCCTTAGTTTATTTATCCTGGATTGGTCCAAAGGCCAGGTTCACATTCAACATGCAAGAACTATAGAAAGTCACCGGGCCCACATCTCACCCACCCTCCAATCGAAGATGGAACTCTTTGGAGAGAGAGTGAAAGGACCCCCACTTGACAGGTGGGGAGACCGAGGGACAGAGGCACCGTCAGTGTCTTCCCTGTCACCTGCCACCATTCCTGCTTCATGTCATTGCATTCTCTTGGCACCCAGAAACAAAACAAAAGGCTCCACTACCTTAATTGTTAGTCCACCCAATATGCGTTCATCTCCAAGGCTTGACGCCCCTGCTGGGGCTTGTCAATTTTTGTTCAGAGGGGCCATGCAGAAAAAGCAAAGAACCATCCCGGGATGCTGGACTGACACTGTCCCCGGCTCACTTGGGAAGATGAGCTCTGGCTCCTCTGGACTCAGATTGCAGAAAAATGAATGAAACCAATTGGACATTCACTGTTGCTAAGGCAATATAGGCAGCAAGGGCGAGGTGAAGAGAAGGAAGGCTTCCTCCCTGTGCCCCGACAGCCTTGGTGCATCTGGTCTATTACCTGCATGCTTCTATGCACACAGTCTCCTTCAGCAGAAATTTAAATTAACATGGTGGCCAGCCTCTCCTCACAGGGGCGCAATATGGTGTGTTTCAGAATACCATTCTCCTGTTCTTCACGGAGTTCTACACCACCATTCTCTTCCATCCCCATCATCCATCCCATGGAGCCAAAGATAATTCAAGAGGACAGTTTCTTTTTCTTTTCCTTCCTTCCTTCCTTCCTTCCTTCCTTCCTTCCTTCCTTCCTTCCTTCCTTCCTTCCTTCCTTTTTTTCAAGACAGGGTTCCTCTGTGCAGCCCTGGCTGTCCGGGAACTCACTCTGTAGACCAGACTCAATAGTTCTGCCTATCTCTGCTTCCTGAGTGCTGGGATTACAGGCATGTGCCACCACCGCCGCATGAAGACAGTTTCTTCTAGCTTTTTTTTTTTTATAACTTTGTTTTTTTTTGTTTTTAAACATTTATTTATTATGTATACAATACTCTGTCTGTGTGCATGCCTGAAGGCCAGAAGAGGGCGCCAGACCTCTTTACAGATGGTTGTGAGCCACCATGTGGTTGCCGGGAATTGAACTCAGGACCTTTGGAAGAGCAGGCAATGCTCTTAACCTCTGAGCCATCTCTCCAGCTCCTCTTCTAGCTTTTTTTATCCCCTTCCCCACCCTGCCATTACCTCCACCATCATGCCAGCTCCCTCCCTGACACCAGTTCTCCACCAACTCCCCTGACCAAAGCACAGCAAATGTGCAACGGAAGGCCAGAGCAGCCAAAAAGACTCTGACCAGGGGCTGGGGGGTGCAGCTCAGTGGTAAGCAGTTTGCCTTGCACGCACAAGGCTTGGGGCTCAATCCCGCATACAGTAGCGAGCAAAACAAACAAAAAGCAACCACCCCACATAAAAAAAAAAAAAGCTCTTACCAAAAAGCCAACATTAGGGGCAGAGCAAGACCTGGGTGAAATGAGGAGGAGGGATAGGAGGTACCCTGGGAAACTTCAGGAGAATGGAGCAACCACATCAACCACCACCTTCCAATCTATGACAGCAAGATAGGCTCCTTTCTCCAGGAAGCTGGGAGACGCAGTAGAGAATAAGGCTGGGGTGGACTTTGGGAACTCGGGAATGGGTGGATGCCCTGCAATACAATTGCTGTTCTTAAGTCTCTCTGCAAATACACACGTCCCTAACATACGCTTCTTATGCCAGCACTGGCAGACATAGATCTCAACACACAAAGGTTCATTCACACCCAACATAAGCCTGTACATTTAACTGATATATATGCATACAAACATTTTGCAAGTACATCTTATTCGGGAATATATATATATACATTCTTGGGCATCTAGCCACACATGCATACATAAACATACATGCTACACATAATGCATACAACTTCATCCACACATGCCTGTAGATACCTGCCTACATGTTAGCACACACACACTTATTACCTGCACTCATGCCTACTGATACTCACGTACGTACTTGTGCATAACCACACACAGGCCTGTAAATATACACACTCGCGTACACCCTTAGCAGTGGTCCTGGTGCCCACACGATGCCTCCCTCTGTTGGAGACAGCGGATGAGTTCTTTACGGTTGTCTAGGATGGTGTCGAAGCTCTCTTGCAGTCGGGCCTGCTGGTCAACCAACTGGTGCTGGAGAGCCCGGATCCACTGAAGCAGGGCCAAGCGACGGTACATTACCAAGTGCGCATGGTGCTTCTCCTTCTCCTGCTCCTTGTAGCGCTCCTGAGCCTGCAGCTGCTGCACAGCCTGGGCCACAGAGGGCAGAAGGGGATCCAGAGGGCTTGGGCCTCGAGGAGTCCCACAGGTAGGCTCTGGACTGCTGCTGAGGCTGTCGATGCTCAGGGAACTGCTGGCATAGCCAACGTCCTCCAGAGGCGAGCACACGCTGCTGGCAACACTCAGCTTCTCAGGCTCAGCAGCACCAGGGAGCTCTGCACCCTCTGGGGGACTGCGGACTCCCGCCTCAAGGAGCCCAGTGGCTTGGAAGACCTGGTTGTCAGAGGGTGACTCAGAGGAACTCCTCATCGGGAGGGGTTCCACTTTGCCTGGCACACCATGCCAGTTCTTATTGGCATCCTTAGCACTCTCCACAAAGTTGGAATTATCGTCTGGTTGGAACTCGGGCTGACATATTCCAGGAGGCAGGCCCCCCAGGAACTGGGCCCCCTCTGCTAGACCTGGCTGGATGGCAGCGAACATCTGGTCTGTGAAGGGGAAGCAGAAGAATAAGTCACAGCAGGACATGGCGGAGTGGCAACCTGGGCCCCAGTCACCGCTTCATGGTTCCCTTCCCTCCTCTCTGATTATTTGGTGTGTCTTCCTCATAGGCTTTTCCTTTTTCCCTTTAAAGCTGACGTCTGTCCATGCTACACACTCTCCCCAAGCCACTTCATTCTCTGTGGTAGCTTCAAGAACCAGCAAGTGTGAGTGACTTGCAGGTATTACCCCTCCCACATACAACCGCTATTCAACTTTGCAGTACCAAAGGTTCCTCAGATACTACCCATGCAAACATCTTTCCTCTTCAGGGTCCTCCAGCAAGAGAGCTACCAGATGCCTGGGAGCACCCTGAACTCTTACCCTGCTTCTTCACCCCCCTCCCGCCACTGTCCGCATTCTGACAATTCTTCCTCTTCCCTCTCATTCTGTCATTTGGCTCTGGTCTTTTTTTTTTTTTTTTTTTTTTTTTTTTTTTTTTTTTTTTTTTTTTTTTTTTTTTTTTTTTTTTTTTTTTTGTCCAGACGAATGTCACAGACTTTTCCCTGCTCTTCCTCCAGTTTAAAATATAAATGCAGGGGCTGGAGAGATGGTTCAGCAGTTAAAAGTACTAGTAGCTCTTCCAGAGAACCCAGGTTCAAATCCTAGCACCCAGCTAGGATGGCTCACAACTGCTTGTAAAGCAAACACCCTCTTCTGGCCTCTTTGGGCATCCACATGCATGTGTGCATACATACACATACAATTTTTAAAAAATTTTTAAAATGATGCCCAGTTAAATAACAAATAATACATTTTAAAAAAAGAACATATATCAACCTGGTGGTGGTGGCTCACACCTTTAATCAGAGGTAGGTGGATATCTGTGAGTTCAAGGCCAGGCTGGTTTACAGAGCAAGTTCCAGGACAGCCAGGGATTCTCCTAGAAACAAACAAAAAAACAAACAAAATCTGTGTGTGTGTGTGTGTGTGTGTGTGTGTGTGTGTGTGTGTGTGTAGAGAGAGAGAGAGAGATAGTGATCACACACACACACACACACACACACATTTAGCCAGGTAGGACAGCTCATACTTATAATCTCAGCACTCTGGAGGCTGAGGCAGGAAGGTTGCAAGTTCAAGGCCAGCCTGGGCCACGTAGCAAAACTGTATCTCAATAAAACAAAATGACCCTTCTTGCAAAATGTGTAAATTTGACTGGAAATGGCTTTGAATGCTGCCCCCCTAATTTACTGTCAGACTGCTGCAGGCCTTGCTTTGCCTGGCCCTCTCTGCACTGTTCCCACTCTGTCTGTCTCATCCCAGCAGCCCACCAGAGACCCCTCTCCCCAAGCACACCACTCTCCAGAGGCCCCCCAGGCACACCATTATCCGACAGTGTTCATTTGGCCTTCAGTGTCCTGAAATTCTGATTTTGTGTTTAAAGTCTCCCTGTCTGAGCCAGAGAGACACTGCGCCCTGCCCCGATATACACCAACTACACAGTCCCCACTGCCCTCCTGTACGCCGTCCTCTCCAGGTGTGTCTCCTACCCCTGGCACACACTGTTGATGGCTAGCAAATGCCTAGCCAACTGGACCTGACTGTTTAAACGGTCTTGTGATCCTTTTTAATCCGGCTCCTTGGCCAACACTAAGGAACGCCTTTATACAACCTCTAGTGCAGTGGTTCTCAACCCGTGGGTGGGCCGAGGGCCCCCTTGGGTTGGAAAAACCCTTTCGTAGGGGTCCCCGAAGACAATCGCAAAACACAGATATTTGCATTACATTATGATTCATAACAGTAGCAAAATTATTGTTATGAAGTAGCAATAAAAAAAAAACTAAATGTCTGGGGGTCACCACAGCAGGAGGAGCTGTATCAAAGGGTCGCAGCATTAGGAAGGTTCTAGCACAGACCCAGCAATAGCAGGTGTCGGTATTTACCTGCTGAGAGTGAGTGAGAGGAACTAGGGTGGGGTTCCTGTCCTCAGGAGACAAACTAAGGTAAGGGCAGCCGGAGGCTACAGCGGAGGACCAGGGGCTGCAGAGCTGATCTCAAGCTCCTCCTCCACACTAAGGAACCCCTCCCTCTGGAATCTACAACGTCAAGCCTTTCCCTCCCGTCCCAGTGTGCCGTGCCCAGTTTGCTACGTCCTGAACGAACCCTCCTCCCCTCCCTTCCCTCACAACAGCTTTTGAGTCTGAACTGATAAGAGGTTCTATTGACCACATTACCATGGCTGGAAGAATCGAGAACTCCTTAATAAGGAATACTATTAAATCAAGCAGCTAGCAGGAAGGTTCTCCCCCATAGGTGGTGGGGACCCCACACCCAGCAATGGGCAGAAGGGGACAGATGCTTCAGATGCTTCACCTTTTTGGCTCATGAGAAAAGGCCTGAAGCTCTTTCCTCGCCTCTATTTTAAAATTTTTCCTAAAAAGTCTGGCCGGGCTCACAAAGGCAGCTGGGATGAGGCAAACTGAGATTGGAACTAAGGATCCAGGTTCAGAGTCAGTGAAAGATGAGTCCAGACATCCCAGGATCTGGATTTCCCCCGAGCTAATCCATCCACAGTGTAGGTGGGGAGGGGGCGGTAGTAGGATGGGGACTGGCAGCCGAGACTGCACAGTGACCCTAATCTCTGTAGAGGCAGCTCCCCACCCCGCTCTCCCGCAGCTGGGCCCCAGGCCCTCCATCAGGGCCCGGACTCACGGCCTAGAAGCGCCGGCTCCTTCAAGGCTGGCTACGGTTCTTCCGGGGCCTGATCGCAGCGGGGTAGCGGGGGTGCTCGGCCTGCGCGTGCACGCGTCGTGGCGTGGCTGCGTGGTCCCGGCACCGCTCGCCCAGCCCGGCCCCGACCTGCAGAGCCCAGCGGCGTCTGCGTGGCTGGGCGGGGCGGTCTGACCCACGTGGGCTGGTTCGGTTCTCCGCGCAGGAACTGCCTCCTTCTGCGGCTCGACCCGATCCTTCCAGGTCCGGTGTCGTCTCATCACCACCCTGGCCGGCGCCTTGCTGCAGACTAGGCGACGATGTCCCTCCTTCCTGGGTTTCCCAGTTGGGAGTCGAGAGGCCGCGGTACGCCTGGTCCCGCTGCTGTCTTCACCCTGCCCCACTCCTTTGATGTTTTGCCCACACTTTTCTGCTATTAAAGTCCCCCTTCGTTTCCACTTGTAATTTGGATCTATGAGGACCCTTCTGAATCCTAGACCTGGTTATTCCCTCTTCTAGCCTGGGGGGGGGGGAAGGGGACGGGGAGACAGACGACTTATACATTTCTCATTGTACTGTGCCTATTTGATTAAATTCATTTAGTGAAAGCTATGTGGATTTTGTTGTTTTGCTTGTTTGTTGTTTTGAGACAGAGTCTCTTTATGTAGCCCTGGCTGTCCTGGAACTCACTATGTAGACCTGGCTGTCTTCCAGTGTACAGAGAGATCTATCTGCCTGCCTCTGCCTCTCCAGAGCTGGGATTAATGGTGTTCACCACCATGCCTGGCTATGGTCTAAAACAAAGGTTCTCAACCAGTTGGTCGCGACCAGTTAGGGAATCACCTAAGACACCACTGCCTGGCTCTCTCTCTCTCTCTCTCTCTCTCTCTCTCTCTCTCTCTCTCTCTCTCTCTCTCTCTCTCTGTGTGTGTGTGTGTGTGTGTGTGTGTGTGTGTGTGTGTGTGCTGGGAACCGAACTCTGGTCTTCGAAAAGAGCAGCAGACTTTCTTACCCTCTGCCATCTCTCCACCCCCAAGGGACTCAGTTTTCAACCAAATAACAGCAATTCCTGACCCAGTGATAGAGGCATCCTCTTGGTGTCAACTTGATTTCAGTTCACTATTCTGCAACCTACTGGTCAAATGACTCAATAAATCACACCAGCAAATAAGGAGACAAAAGGGGAAATGGGAGAGATGGTGGCAATCACTGCTTTAGAACAACAAAGCAAGTTACGTGTGGTGGCACACATCTGTGATCCCAGCACTTGGAAGGCAGAGGCAGAAGGATTCCTGTGAGTTCAAAGCTAGCCTGGTCTTCACAGTGAGTTCCAGCAGAGGCTACATAGACTCTGTGTTAAAATCTAAACCAATCAGCCAAACAAACAAACTCAAGCCACTCCTTTGTATGTGTATATGTATGTGACAACCTCAAGCCCGTTTCTTCTTCAGGTGCTCTGAGGGCTGACTGGGCTAGGGTTATGCAGGGTTCTCTCTATCCTGGAGCTAGGAAGGGGGTGTAGCTTGGTGGTGGCTCACTGACCTAGCACAAGGGCCTAGGTTCAAGGCCATCATGGAAAATAACAACTTTTTAGAACATCTCTTCCTTCAGGCTTCCAATTCTAACCAACTAGAGCCCAATGAATCTAAGGATGGGTATCGTATCCTGCTGCAGGTAAGTCATGGTTCTTCCTTTAGAGATGAAATTAAAAGGCAAAAGTAGGGGCTGAACAGATGGCTCAGCAGTTAAGAGCACTGACTGCTCTTCCTAGAGGTCCTCAGTTCAGTTCCCAACACCCACATGGCAGCTCCTACCTGTCTGTAACTGAACTTCAGTTCCAGGGGGATCCAACACCCTCACACCAGAAACCACTCTCCTGCCATCAGGAACTCCTGAGGTCTCGTGCTCAGAGCAGCTGTAGGCACTTAGCTCGGGGGAAAACAAGTTGTTTCAGGATCTGCGGGTTCACAGCTCCCAACGCTCCCTCATGATCGATCTTTCCCTCCCTTGCTCATGTATTAGCTCCTCCCTCTCTTCAGTTGGATTTCTGGAGCTTGGCGTGGTGGTTGGTGTGGATCTCTGCGTCTTGTTCTGTTAGTTGCTGGATGAAGGCTCTATGATGTTAGTTGTGGTTGTTGTTCCCCAATCTGATTAGAGGGGAAGTTCAGTTCAGGCACCCACCCCACTATTGATGGGACTCTTTAATTGGGGTCATTGTTGTGGATTTGGGGAATTTCCCTAGCACCAGGTTTCTTTCTAACCCCATAGGGGCTCTATCAAGATCTCTCTTTCATTGCTCTCCCACTACATCCCTCTCGTCCCTTAACTATCCCATTTCTCCATGGTCTCACTCCTATCTCCTCCTTTCAACCACCCTCTCACCCCCAGAATGAGTGCCAGAATGCTGTAGTTCTACGACAATGGAGACTTACACCAAGTGGGTGTAAAAAAGCGTCTGAGGCCAGACAGTGTATGGCAGAGAGAGAACCTCTATCCAGAGTCCTTGAACAAACTTCAGGTCAGAATTTATTCATCATGGGCAGTCCAGGATATTGGCAATGACAGGGATTTTAGAAATCGGCCAAAGAAAGATCCAGGCACAAGAGTAGCCTTCTCAAGAGACAGGACAGACGTACTACAAGTGTTAGTGCTGTGGGAGCAGACCAGAAAACCTAGGGAGTCAGGAGTCCTGCTCAAGCGCTGGTGAGCCCCGATCTTGTCTCTCTTCCTCCTTTGCCTTCTCTTGGGAGGAAAGAACCTGGGGCATCGAGGTCAGGTGGAGGCAGATGAGAGGCCCAACTGCAGTTAGAGCCCCAGGTAAAGTCCAGATGTGTGTTGGTTAGAGCCCTGTGCCCAGTTAGCCTAGCATATCCAGGTGAATAGACAAGGCTGTCAGATCAGGGGAGTCAGCTGGGAGGGGGGCTAAGTCATGGGTAGAAGCCTAGGTGGCAACTTAGCACAGAAGAATTCCATTGTTCGCTGTAGACCAAGATGACCTTAAACCTGCAATCCTGCTGCAGCCTCTGGAGTAGCCAGGATGATAGATCCCTGTCACCAGGCCTGGCTTCTATCGACCTGTTAAGCACAAGCCTTTAATCCCAGCACTTGCAACGCAGAGGCAGATGGATCTCTAAGTTCAAGGCCAGCCTGGTTCACACAGCAAGTTTCAGGTCAGCCAGGGCTACATCATGAGACCTGTCTCAAAACAACAATAAAAACTGACAGTTGCCATCCATTGCTGGTGGGAATGCAAACTTGTGCAACCACTCTGGAAAGCAGTGTGGCGGTTTCTCAGGAAATTCGAGATCAACCTACCCCTGGACCCAGCAATACCACTCTTGGGAATAAACCCAAGAGATGCCCTATCATACAACAAAAGTATATGCTCTACTATGTTCATAGCAGCATTGTTTGTAATAGCCAGAACCTGGAAACAACCTAGATGCCCTTCAACGGAAGAATGGATGAAGAAAGTATGGAATATATACATATTAGAGTACTACTCAGCAGTAAAAAACAATGACTTCTTGAATTTTGCATTCAAATGGACAGAAATAGAAAACACTATCCTGAGTGAGGTAAGCCAGACCCAAAAAGAGGAACATGGGATGTACTCACTCATATTTGGTTTCTAGCCATAAATAAAGGACATTGAGCCTATAATTCGTGATCCTAGAGAAGCTAAATAAGATGGTGAACCCAAAGAAAGACATATAGTCATCCTCCTGGAGATTAACTTTCATTGGGCAATGAAAGCAGACAGAGACAGAGACCCAGAGTTGCTAGAGAAAGGAATGAGCGCAGGAGATGGTGGGAAAAGCCTCCTGAGGAGCCATCTGAGACAGGGCTTGACCGAATAGACATCACCAACACAGGGCAGGCCTTCGAGAGTCTTCTTCAGAGAGTACTGAGAAGATGGAATATGCCAGGGTGGCTGAACTTGGAGGCAAAATGGAGGTAGGATGTTCAGCTGAAAACTCAGCCTAGTTGTGCAGGGTCTTGCCCACATTCCAGGAGCACAGGCTTCATCCTGTGACAGCAGGTTGGTCACTGGGGAAGGCCCCCAGGGACTCCATTTCAGTCATGGAGGTTGTGGAGGACATACGACTTTCGTTTTGCTTTCTTTTTCTTTTCCTGTTATCACCTGCCAACTTTGGGAACGTTGACAAATCAAGTCATTTCCACCTTTTTAAACTAAATAAGGCTAAGGTGCCTTTAGAATAGCTGGAGTTATCTGTGAAGTTGGCATGAGTCCAAACACAGGCACAGCCCAGGAGGACTCTTGACTTAACCAGAATGCCCTAAAGGCAGATTAGAAGATTACTCCCCAGAAGTAGCTCTTCTTGGGAAAGGAAGGCCCAGGAGCCTGTGACATAGTTTTGTTCATCTCTGCTCCAGCACCTCTTAAAGGTAAAGGGCCACTTTAGACTATCACAGAGGCACAGTGTGACCAACTTACGTAAAAGGATAGGGTAGGCAAAGAGGGTGAGGTACTTCCAACCAGAAGTTTTAAGGTTTTGTTTTGTTTAGGAGAGGAGAGGGAAAAAAAAAACAAACAAACAAGGTTTTCAGTGTTGGGAATTAAACTTGGGGCCTCCCTCAGGGCTGGAGAGATGGCTCAGATGTTAAAGGTTAGGTTTCAAATCAGAAATCAACTCAGGGCCTCTCACATGCTAGGTAGAAACTCTGCCACTGAGCTCTGATCTCACCCCTGGTCCTGTAGGCTTCCTGAGTTCTGAGATTACTACAGACACAAGCCACTAAAATGCCTGGGAACTACTTTTAATTTTCCTTGAACAAAAATTTCCTGTCCTTTTTAAAAACAACAACAACAACAACTGGGTCTCACTATATAGCCCTAGTTGTCCCCGAACTCACGATGTAGACCAGGCTGTCCTCTCATTCACAGACATCGCCTGCTGGATTAAAGGCAAGTACACCACACAGGGCTTCCCTGGACAAAACCTTTTGGACACAACCAGTTTGAGATCTCTCTTGACGTCTCCACCCCAAACAGCTCCTGAGAGGTGCTGGAGACTTTCATTTTTGTATTTTGTGGGTGGGATTGTTTTCATTAGTTGTGCTGAGGATTGAACTGGGGATATCTTTATAGACTAACCCTCTGAGCTACACTTCCATACTAAGGGAAGGTGTTCATTCATTCATTCATTCATTCTTGTAGGGAGGGGAATGCAGGTGTGTGTGTGTGTGTGTGTGTGTGTGTGTGTGTGTGTGAGAGAGAGAGAGAGAGAGAGAGAGAGAGAGAGAGAGAGAGAGAGAGAACACAACTGTTCTTTCCTTCCACTATGGATTCCAGAGATCAAACTTAGGGCTTCAGTCTTGCAAGCATTTTTTGTTTGTGGTTGGATGTGTGTGTTTTTTCTTTTCTTCTTACCCCCACCCCCCCCAGACAGGGTTTCTCTGTGTAGCCCTGGAACTCACTCTATAGACCA